CAGCCCCGCCCTCCTGCCGTAATGCCGCGAGTAGCGGCGCACAGCCCCCTCAGCCCCCCGCCCCGCCCGGGATCACCCCAGGCCCCTGAGGCGCGGCCGTCGGGCCAGGCCTGGCCTGGGACCCGGGTGTTCTCCGGTTAAAAGCGGATTCCACAAAGAAATTAAACACCGCCTGTAAATCCTGCTTGCTTTCTACAAACTGTCTGCCCAACTCTGAAAGCCTTCCCTGCGGGCTCGCTGTTCCTGCAGCCACCGCCCGTGCTGCTGCCGAGCCATCATGAGTTGGGGTATCTCCACGGCCCGACATATCCTTATAAGCCTTAGGCAGCTGGTAGTCTCATAAGGAGAAGGAAAATTACATTTAATAGGGAAATGAGAAGATGATCTCCGTACCAGAACGTGACCGGCACAGACGAGCAGGCTGTGACAGGCTAAGGCGGAACGGCCGGTCTCCATGTTGGCACGGGCGGCCTGGGCCCCACCAAGGAGCCCCCGCTGCGGCTCGTGGGGTCACGGCACACTTCTGAGCCAGGACGGACTCCACAACTGAGGCATGGACGGAGCTGAAACAAAGCCACAGAAGATCATTTCCCCAGCTTACCGGGAACGTCTAATTTACTTTCTTTCCCCTACCCAAACGAGTATTCACACCAATTCAGAGCGACCGTCATCATTACCAATCATCGTAATGATTACCTTAGCCAAAAATGACATCTTTTCAGTACTAGAGTCAGAAACCGAATCGGACCGTACAAGACACCAAGAAAAAGCTACCTCTTGCTTTCCAGATTCACCCCACCATCACAAGTCCATTTGCTGAACAGAGATCTAGCGAAATGTGACTGAAAAAGCAAGGTTTTGGGAGATGACTCACCATATCAGAATCCATAAAGAAAGTGGAAAACAGGGAAATAAATATCTAACATAAGGGTGCAATTTCACTGAAGCTTTTAGCAACTGCTAATATCATAAACCATAATAAAAGGGTCCTGCTGTCCTGGCACCAGAATATCCTAACAGAGCTCCATATGTTGTACATACATAGAGTTTGTACATGAACATTTATTTGGGTGAAGTTAATTTCCACCTTATATTTAGAAAAAATTGCATTACTGTCAATGAAAGAAGCAATCTCTAAGTCTGTGACAGCACTAAAGATATTAGTACCTTTTAGAGACAGTAAAAACAACATTAGTCTTCAGAGACAATTATGTGATCCAGAGCCAGTTCTTACTCAGTTCTGGTGCTTCTTTTTTAACCTATTTTTATGATAGTCTTTTTGCTCTTACATTATGGAGAATTTTTTTTTCTGTGTTTTAGTGGAAAGGACTAAAAGCGCATTTGTAGAGGGAACATAAGAACACATGACTGTCTTTGCTCATGTGAATAACCAGCTGTGCAGTCCTTTTGGCTGTGTATACAGACCATACGATGTAGTATTAGCACAAAGAGCCTTGACTATTTAAGGTTTCTAAATACTATATTAAGTGTTATCCTTATAAAGTACTAGTTTTGCTTTAGCTGTATTGGCTTTGAAATTCTTTTACATGAAGCTGCTGAGCTTGCAGAGTGTCCCTCGCTGGCACCAGGAGCATGTCTCAGGTTAAAAACAGCTCCTTTGCTTCTGCCCCTGGAACGAGGGTGAGAGATTTCTGGTAGAAGAGAAGAAGGAGGAGACACTGCTCACTAAGCCATGGTCCAGGGAGAGGAGGGGGCAACGGCTGGAGCTGTTTTTTGAACATCTGATTCTACCAGTCCAAGTTGATGTCCCTTCAGCACAACCCCAGCTGGCACCTAAAGAGCTATGACATGGAGATCTGGTTTAAAACCAGGAGAATCAAGCATCCTGTGAGTGTTTCAAGCCCTTACCTTCCTTAAAAGTGGAGTCAAAATCCCTTTGCAGAGAGCTTGGCTGCCAGATGCACACACAAGTATTTTTGGATGCCCCCTTGTCTCTCCTATTACAAGGTTTTTGTCCAAGACCTTAGCAGAGGAAATACTAAAACTATCTAAGAGTACTTGTGTAGTGCAGTATAGTATTTCCCATAAAACGATGCATTGAGTCAGAACGGAGGAGGCAGGGATATGTCTGGATGACAGAACTCTTTCCGACCTCAGTGTAGCTCAGGTTTCTCCCTAAAACTGTGGCTAAAAAGCACATATGTAAAAAGACCTCGTACATGAATAGTTCTAAATTTAGCTGTGTGTCTGTTGTTCTTCTCTTGTTTTTTACAAATGAAAAAATAATCACACCAGATCCTAGAAGAGCAAGAATGGAAGCCAAAAACCAAGGCATGCCAACATCCTCTCTGTGCTGTTCAAAAATTCAGCCAAAAGTCTGACCAGTGTCTTTACTTCTACCATGGCTAGAAGATCATCCGACGCTACGGAAGTGGTGTCTGCTGAAGTATCATCTAATTATTAGTCTTCCTTTAGTGCGTGCACAGATGGATCTTAAAAGCTGAGAATTTGGTGCACCAAAGGAAATATAAACCCCATTGTTGATGATGGGCAGAAGCGGGGGGACTTTTGAAGTGAGGGAGCGGGTGGGTACAGGACTCGAATGAGTCTCCTGCACTGTGGGCTCAGCACTGGTTTTACTCAGTCACTGCCTGGTACCCAGCTGACAACAAAATCATGGAGCACTTGCTAATATCAAAATTCCTGAGCATTTGTCAGGAAGCCATCCTGAATCAGAACCCCTGAGCATTAGAGAAACATGGTCCATCACCAGGAAAAGGTGTGACTAAGATGCGGGATTGGCCAAACATGGGAAAAAGTCTACACGGCCGGACATACACACCTCGCTACGAACAGACTGGGGTAAAATTTCCGAGCTGAGCGGACTGGGGAAGCTGCAGGCAGCAGTCAGTGTTATTCAAGATTGCACCCCTTGAGGACACCAAAGTGCAACCAAGAGAAATTAAAGGATGGGATTTATTTGTTAAATTCTGCTGCAGAAAAGCTAGACGAGAGTTAACATGAGATAAACGCAGAGTGTGCAGATGGAAAAGGTCTGTCATACGGAGCGGTAGCTCCAGCTGTCTCTGTGCCAGTTTGGGGAAACTAAAGCTGGATACACCGGGACCATCGGGAAGACGAGCCCGGGGAGGAATCCGACAGCCCATGTTCCTATTTAACGTAATTATGGTACAGCCGAGGCTGGTCTGGCAGCGCTCTGAACCGTGCCCAGCTGCACGTTCACAAGGTCATTTAAACATCTGCAAACATAGAAATAACTAGTAGTTGCCTGACTAGCTTATTTAAAACTGTTTGCGTGGACCCATACAGAATTAGAGGTGTCTGACTACAGGGAAGGGAAAAGACACATACTCTTCCCTTCTTATCTTATTTAAAAAGACACTGCCCATGTTTTAATTAGATTTTCCAAATCGTCCAGGGATGCCCAAAAGAACCAGGGGATGCAGGGATGCAAATCGTAGCCCTTGCTAGGCATTGGAGGGGCTTGCAGGGAGTGAGGCAGCTTTTATAAATGATGTTCTGATATTCTGCTCCGAAATCTGTCTGTGGGCACTTAAGGCGGGCAGCTCTGTGAATGCACCGAGCAACTGCAGCCCCGATCGTTTACATGCATAGGAGGGCCTGTCCAGACTGAACCTTTTTTTAAATCATATCCATG